TCGTCGATAACCCTGAAAAAATAAAGTAATTTACAAAATAAATCTTTACAAAATCCCATCCTACAATATCATTAAAAATTATAAGTGCTCACCTTTGCATGCACATCTAAAAAAAAATGGCTTACATGGGTCCTATCCATTATGCGGGATACTCAAATATTAGCTGTACAACATATACATAGCATATACATAGAAAACACAGTAGGATTATAGTGCCGATCTGTTATGTCATTTTTGATAAGGTGATTGGTCAAACATCCAAAGTTTGACGGAGATGGGTGCTTTAAATTTTTTCATCTTGTGTGAAAATGTTATTATGTTAATGTTATTTTCTGCCTCCATTTGAAGCATTGATTTGTTATATACCAGTTCGGGGTTTGTTTGAATATCCTATTGTCCAGTGTATAGTGAACGATACAATTTAAGATTGGGGCGCACAAGTGGCTCAGACCAAGGTCCTATCTATCACTGGTAGCAGTACCTCAGGCTTGTTTGTGTAAATTAAGAATGGACTAGACTAATGTCCCTCGTCAATGCACAGAAACCCCAAAAAATGCCTGCCAACAGTGCAAGTGGAACTGAATATATGTTAAAAGGTAAAGGTTAAAAAGAAGCAGCTGACACTATGACCACTATGAAATACACTGCAGTCTAACACCCTCCCCAGGTGAGCACGGAGTTAGCAGAGACAAGGAGTGCTGTGTATATGGAACTGGCATTCAAAACTGGGAAAAATTTGGGATAAATCTTCAAGAACAAATCCAGTAAAATAGGCTTTGGCTTCAATTTACATTTGTGTCCGCATACAGGCTCACACGTTAATCACACTTTTTTATCCTGAAGTAAATCTGCCTGTGTTTATTGCATGGTTGGATCACAGCGTTTTCCATATATGAATTATAAAATGTAAGTAATCTTGCAATCAAAACCAACATGAAATCTTGTTTTAGTGTGTATGTTCAGATAGATCTCCATCTAAGACAGTTAATTCATAATTACTATTTAATCATAATTATATACATTTGAATATTATATTTCTAATGGATTTATGGGATTATTCTTCCCTCAAGTCCTCTTGCTGTGGCTGTCATTAGATCACAGCACATTAGTCAGAAAATTGAGACCGTCTCCTTGATTATTTCGCCACAAAAACCTCAGCTCTCCAAAAATAAATAGACATATTATCATGCAGATATTTCACCGTAGTATTTCTTGGATCGTGTGTGTAATGTGAAAATCCTCTCCTTGTAGATTTTCCCTCTCAAAATATCATATACTGGTTTCACATGACGCTAATGTAATTGACAAAATTGCTATAGTGTGTTGTTTAAAGCGCATTTTTACAAGTAATGCTCAGGTGACCACATTGCTTTTATGTTCTTTCATTGTGAAGCTTGTATATAAAGTTGAAGTAGCCTAAACTGTCAATCCCCTCAGTCAGGGTGGTCTGTCTATAGCATGCAACACTATAACTATCTAGATTCAAGACCATTTCTAGAACTTACGTTTGTGTCCACTAGCTAAATCACATTGCTTTCTATGTTCAACTATCCAAAACCTTTACCAGATGCTTTGGTTTCTGTTGAACAGGTCCACAGTTCCCAGACTGATGATCTCTCACAGGGTTAATATGGGAGAGTTCCCCTGAAAACAAAAGAGCTTTATCCCTACCTGCTGTCCCTGTGTGTTCCCATGCATGGTTGGCTCTTCATGGGAGTGGGGCACCTTGGTATTGCTTAGCTGACTCTGCCGGGGTGATGGCAACATCCACCATTAACATGATGATAGAGCAACAGGGAGAACTAACAACACTGCTGATTTTTAAGGAGAAACATTGCACATGCATTTGTAATGCCACGTAAAATTGGTATATTTTTTAGTTCAGTCTATTTTGACAAGTGTTGCTATGATATGCAGCAGTGCACAAGATTTGGAATTTATTTGAAAACATTTAACTTATAGTATTTTAGTTCTTGCTCTACCTGTTAATGGATATTTTGAATATCTTATTGCATATCCTTGTTTGTGTTTGTGTGTTAGGATGCCATATCATAAAGAGGCTTGACAGTAGTAAGCCATCCATTTATTTAGCTTAGCTCCTGAACTAGAACATAGATAGATAGATAGATAGATAGATAGATAGATAGATAGATAGATAGATACAAAAAAAATAGCTTATTCTTCAGTTTTATTAACATAACACTAAAGTCATAACTGAACAATGCCGATGATTGTTTCAGG